GTGTCCCTCATTTTTCTTCCCACATGTCCCTATGTTTAACTTTGGCAGGGCACGCTAATACCAGCAGTCACAATCCCCTCACTGGATGCAACTCTTACTTTCACCACCCAGACTAGTGCCGCCTACTAGGGTACTGGATGCAAATACAGCTCCCTGCTTTTATCTGGGTGTGGGAGTATAATGGAAGAACAGGGATAGGCCCGTCCCTCATTTTTCTTCCCACATGTCCCTATGTTTAACTTTGGCAGGGCACGCTAATACCAGCAGTCACAATCCCCTCACTGGATGCAACTCTTACTTTCACCACCCAGACTAGTGCCGCCTACTAGGGTACTGGATGCAAATACAGCTCCCTGCTTTTATCTGGGTGTGGGAGTATAATGGAAGAACAGGGATAGGCCCCCTCTTGCTAGGAGCCTCTGAAATTATTTTATATGTATTACAGTAGTTCCTACAAGCATTGTGCTTGGCGCTGTACATATTGAAAATGGAAAGATAGTCCCTGCCCTAAATAATTTATGCGTTTCTTTGAACCCTCAAGTGATGGAGAGGTACCATAGTGATTTCAGGGAACCAAGGCCCTGATGCCAATCCCACCCCTGCAGAACCCAAGGGAAAGAAGCAGAGACTTACGTGTCACAGCTTCGGGCATGACCATGAACTCTGATGTGGCCTCGCTTTGGGGAGGTGTGGTTCCATTCGCCAGGAGGTTCGGGGACTTGTCTTCTGGCAGTTTCTCTTTCTCCTCCGTTGCTGGGGCCTGAGGGGGAGAGGCTGGGGTGTGGCACAGAGCAGACACTGCTACCGCTGGATTCTGCGTGGAGGAAGGGCACGAGATCTCCTCCTGATCTGAGAAAGACAATAGGGTTCTAGTTATTATTGTGTGTGTTAGTATACCACGGAGCAGGAACCCATGGCGTTAGGTGCTGTACGAACACAGAAAGTAGACAGTTCCTGTCCCAAGGAGCTTACATTAAGACAAGAGATGACAAATGGGTTCAGACAGACTGAAGGAGGAGTTCTAGGAAATCATGAGACACCTCTTCCATCAGCTGTTCCAGCTTCACAACCCTTAAGCAGTGCAAAGGCAGCAGGCAGACCATTCACAAGGAAGTTAAGAAGCCTCAGGCCAGATCTTTAGCCAGTGCAAACAGACACAGCTGCAGTGAAGCCAAGGGAGCTACGTTGATTTACACCCCTTGAAGATCTGGTCCTTTTTGGGGTGGCATCTTCAAAAGTGTTCAGCATGGTCCAACTCCAACGGCTCCTTGTGCAGTTAAAGGTAAAAGTTCCCTGGACTTTGCTGGAACAGAGTCGGGCCGGCACTGAGCACCTGTGAATTCTCTGGGGGAAGGAACTATCATGCTCTGTGTTTGTACAGCACCTAACACAGTGGGCTCCTAGTTTGTGACCAGGAACAATTAAATAAGCGTCTCAGACTTTAAGACCAATCTAGTCTGAGCTCCTGCATGTTGCAGGTCACAGAACCTCACCCTCCTGAAATAGACTCCCCCCTTGCTGAGCTACTGAAGTCCTCCAATCATGATTTAAAGCCTTCCTTTTGCATCATTTTGAAACCACCAGGTTTTCACAATTAAAAATCACACAGTGTCTCAGGGTGTTTTTACACTGAAACAGGCTGGTGTGTTGTTTGGTTTTGTTTAAATCCCACCCCCGGTTATTTTAGAATGTCTGGTGCATGACGTCAGCGTGCTCCCAGGAAGGTGCAGCAATTCAAAACGGTCACCAGGTCTTAGGCCCGATTGCGTACCCTGTGGAAAGCAAAACTGCCCTGCCCCTTATGCCGTTCGTGGCAGGGAGCCTCCTAGCCTGGTCCACAGCCTGGGCTTGCAGCGCCCACACGAGAGAATGTCAAAACAGCCATGTAGACAGCGCTCGGAAGATATGGCTCATAAGAACATACGAACGGCCGTACTGGGTCAGCCCAAAGGTCCATCTAGCCCAGTATCCTGTCTGCCGACAGTGGTCAGTGCCAGGTGCCCCAGAGAGGGTGGACCGAAGACAATGATCAAGCTATTTGTATCGTGCCATCCATCTCCAGCCTCTGACAAACAGAGGCCAGGGACACCATTTCTGTCCCCTGGCTAATAGCCTTTTATGGACCTAACCTCCATGAAATTATCTAGCTTCTTTTTAAACTCTGTTATAGTCCTAGCCTTCACAGCCTCCTCTGGCAAGGAGTTCCACAGGTTGACGATGCGCTGTGTGAAGAAGAACTTTCTTATATTAGTTTTAAACCTGCTCCCCATTAATTTCGTTTGGTGTCCTCTAGTTCTTTTATTATGGGAACTAATAAATAACTTTTCTTTATTCACTCTCTCCACACCACTCATGATTTTATAGACCTCTATCCTATCCCCCCTCAGTCTCCTCTTTTCTAAACTGAAAAGTCCCAGTCGCTTTAGCCTCTCTTTATATGAGACCCGTTCCAAACCCCTAATCATTTTAGTTGCCCTTTTCTGAACCCTTTTCCAAGGCCAAAATATCTTTTTTGAGCCATACTGAAGCCCATTTCCCACCCCCAGCTTCTGAACCTGAGCACCAGCCCGAAACACGATGCCTACACAGCAGCACGAGCATCCATCTGACAACCTCGGCGGGGAGGCGCCCGGCCGCAATCTGTGTAGCCGTCTCCACCGTGGCTTGGAATGAAATTGGAACAGAGGTCTCTTCCACCATGGAAAAAATATTTGGCATTTTCGTTCGGCCCCTTTGGGAGTCCCACATGGGCATGGGTAGGGCAGTGCTGGGAGAAAGCCCACGCTACCAGCTTAGTGAGGGGAGCTCACGCTGCTAAGGGGTCTGTCCAGGACACGGATTGCTGTGCTTTCTCACAGCAGGGTGAATACAAAGCCCTGTGCTGGGGGAATCTTCGCTGGCATGGACGTAGGGCACTGCCACGAAATCCTGGGCATTAGAAGGGCATTGCTCTGAGGAACACCCCAGATGGGAGGAAGAGGCCAGTGAGCGCAAGAGAAAGGTGGGGGTGCTGGTACTGCAGCTGCATCACCAGCTGACGAGCGGCACCGTGAGACCAATGAGAAGAAGGAGGAAGCCTTCCGGCCACGTGCTCCCGAAGCCTGCTAGAAAGGTACAGCTCTCTCTCACCCTCACAGACCGAGCCACTGGTTGCCACACACCCAGGCTTCAGCTACAACCAGCTGACAGGCCCTTCAGGTTCCCTTGGCGTGGCTTTTGTTCGGCCCGCAGGAGACGGGCAAATCAGATGTGCCACCCTCAGCACGTGGCAGTGGGCACGGAGGAGGGTGCCCCCAATGCAGGAGGGGGAACAAGAGCAGGCAGGGGTATTGGTAGGAATGCAGTGGAGCTGACAGAAGGATTCCCCAAAATCCAGGCCTTGCACACTTGTGAGGCGAGCTACCGTGGGACAGCCTGAGGACGACTTCAGTTGGCTCTGCTCATAGAACCATAGAGCTGGAAGAGACCTCAGGAAGTTATCAAGTCCAGCCCCCTGCCCAAGGCAGGACCAATCCCAACTAAATCATCCCAGCCAGGGCTTTGTCAAGCTGAGACTTAAAAACCTCCAGGGATGGAGTTTCCACCCCCTCTCCAGGTAACTTCAGTTGGCTCTGCTGTCACAACACAACACGGATTTCCAGCCCCATGAATTCAAGCTCTGTCATGGTTAGTCCTGAGGGTGGGCAAGAACCCTACAGCAGCCAGGCTGGCTTGTCACACCCCTGAGCCGGCTTTGATGTCTGGACACAGGGTGTATCAAACTCGGGCTATTCCTCTAGTGCAGGCAAAGCTACTTCAGATACTGCCAACGTGAAGAAACGTCCCCTTTCTACCGAGCCCCCCTCACTGTCTTCTGCGGGCCTCCCAGACCGCCTATCAACCTCTCCCCCTCCCCCATGCCCCTTTGGCACTCAGAATAGCAACCGTTTATACCACAGGGGCTGGAGGTGCAGCAGCATTGGGGTGGAACTGCACTTTATATAAAGCTAAATTATACCTCAGGAGGATAAAGCTAGACCGAGCACCCATAATTACACTGACTGTAGCAAGAGATCTTACATGCAGGCGGGAAGGGGCAGAGGGCGGGGAGAGAGAGGCAGGCCTTGGACCCCTCATTATACTTGATATAACAAGAGATCCTACATGCAGGCAGACGGAGAAGGAGGCAGACGGGGAGGAAAGGAGGCAGACCTCACACATATAATTAGCGTGGCCATAATGACACAAGGGAGGAGGGCCTGATCCAAAGTCTGCTGGGGTCAGTGGCATCTTCGCATGCACGCTAAGGGACTCTGGAACAGGTCCAAGAGGCTAATAGAGAGAAGAGCAGGGGTATAGAAGGGCATGCTCCACCAAAAGGCTGGGGGAGGATGGACAGAGCATTAGCTCGGCATTTGAAAGACTTGCGATTTGATGCTGAGCTCTGCTACTGATTTCCTGGATAGTTAACTTTTAATCTATCCAGTGCCTCAGCTCCCCCTCCTTCCCTAACTCAGGGGGAGAGGAGGAAAAGGAGAGGAAAAAATTCATTCCGGATGCTGACCTGCTTGGATATGGATTGGGGTAATATAAGCACCTAGACAGACACTCAACAGAGGCATGTGAGCCGTGCTAAGCCCTCCTCCTAAGTTCAGAGGGATTTAAGACCCTGAATGTAAACATACAGGGGATTTTGCTCACAGCTATTTTTTTTACATACCAGCAAAGCTGGACTGGTTTATGGCTTCACGCGAACATCAAGATTAAAGTCCCTTCTGGGACCGCCCGACAGAATAAAAGATGCAATTTTCTAGAGGTTTTTAAAAAACCCTTGTAGCATGGAACAGAGAATTCTCTCCCTTGCTGCAGAATTCTGCAGGCCGTTAAAACCCCCCAACAAACAGCCTTCATTCTCTAGGCAATTGTTTAGGTTGTTACTGTAATTTCTGTAGACCCCTGTGGATTTTACAGGACCCCTATTCACTCCTGTAGAGCTTTCCCTCACGCATGTGCTTTTGCCTGTTTTGATGCCAAACCAGGAGAAATTCAGCAACTTCAGCCAAGGTTTGTGTTGAGAATTTGGGTCCTGTGCTCAGAGTGAGTAGGAGGGCGTGAACTAGGGATGTTAGCAAATGTGGGTTTTTGTAAACATATAATTGCTGAATTTTTCAGCGGTCACACGTTTACATTCCGGGGGGCAGGCGGGAACCAGTGTTTTAAGCTCCTGGCTCCCGCCTGACCTCCCTACCCCACTGATACAGAGACAGCAGTGCAGGGGATGGGGGGGAGGTGCCTCCATGGGAGCCGGTACACACAGTGAGCTGGCTTGAAAGCTGGCTTCCCAGGTGTACCCATCTCCCACCTGCCCCCCCTCCACACTGCTGCTTCTGTATCAGAGGCAGCAGCATGGTGGGAGGGCGAGGCAGTTCTGTGGGAGTCAGTGCTCGGGGGGAGCTGTTTTAAGGGGGACCAGCTCCTACCTTCCCCTCCTCCCCCGCACCCTGCACTGCTGCCTCTGTGGGATGCAGCAAGGGAGAACATGTGCAGAGAGCTGGCTTTAAAGCCGGCTCCCTGTGGGCACTGGCTCCTGCCTTTGCTGCCTCTGTATCAGAGGCAGAAAGGGTGGAGGTGCGTGTTGTCGGTGGGATTAACTGATGAGCCCAGGCTTATCGGTTAATAATGTAAACAGCTACATGCTAATATCCCTTATGTGAACCCCTTGAAAACTCCAGCCATGGGAGAAAAAGAGGTGCATGCCTGGGTGTAAAGAAAATAGTGGCCACACAGAGCGAAATCCTGCAGTCATTTGTCTGGGCTGTCATGCTCCTGTCAGGAATTTGGCTTGCAGCGTTTGCCCTTATCGGCCAGAT